GGGGTGCGAGCACCCCACGCACCGTCCTGCGTGCAGGCGCCCAGCAGGTTGATGATGTTCTTGTGCTTCCCGATCATCTTCATCATCTCCATCTCGGACACCAGGTCGGAGAGGTCCTTCTCCGTGGCGTCATCTGCGAACGTCGGAGTGTTAAACCCGTCCCACGCCTCCCACGGGGCGGGGGGGGGGGGGGGAGCCTCGGTTCTGCCACGGCCACGCGGGTGTTTACAACATCGTCCCGTTGACATAACTCACTGAATAGAAGCTACTGTGCTATGGCCCAGCCGGCTCAGTGGTTGAGCATCGACCTATGAACCACGAGGCCGGTCAGGGCACAGGCCCGGGTTGTGGGCTAGATCCCTGGCGTGGGGCGTGCAGGAGGCGGCCGATCAGGGATTCTCTCTCATCACTGACGCCCCCACCCCCTTCCTGCCTCCCTCTCCTGTCTTCTCTGAAATCAATTTTAAAAATACTTGTTAGAAAATTTATGTTGCTAGGAAAAAGCCCCCAGATGTATTGCATTTGGGGCCCCGCCTGTGACCCCCTCGGCAGGGCCAGACCCCATGATGGCAGGACCTCGGGCCGGACGCTCCCCCCCCTGCACCCTCGGCCGCGCGGGGAGCTGCCCAGCGCTGGGTTCAAGGTTCAAACAGCATGAAACTGAGTGTCAGAGCCAGAGGGGACTCCCCCACCTTCCCTGCCCTTGTGGGTCGGGGGCAAAGGCCCAGGCGGGAATGAACTGCCCGCCGCGTCCAACGGCCAATGTGGGGTCAGAAGTCAGGACGGGCGTGGATTTAGGCCTCTCAGGCCGAGGCCGACTCTCTTCCAGCCGAGCTCACAAATGTGCGGCTTCGCTTTGACAAAACTGGCTTTTCGTTTTTATTATTATTTTTTGAATCCTCACCAGAGGATACTTTTTCTGTTGGTTTCTAGAAAGTGGGAGGGGGAGGGCAGAGAGAGGGGGAGAAACATCGATGCAAGAGACACATCAACTGGCTGCCTCCCGCACGTGGAACTTCCAACAGAGGCACCCGCCCTTGACTGGGAATCGAACCCGGGACCCTGGGGTCTACAGGCCGACGCTCTAACCACTGAGCAACCAGCCGGGCAAACTGAGCCAAACTGGCTTTTTTTTTAAAGCGCACACAGCTCAGGATAAACCGTCTCCGAGATGCTGATTCATACTGCAAACCCCTCACCCCCGAGGTCAGCTATGTGCCCTTTGACCCCTGCCAGGTCAGAGTTCACGTGCGACCAAAGGAACTTTCTCAATAAGGCGCCCCCCCGCCCCCCGTCCCCGACTCACCTTTCAGCATCTTCACGGCCACGGTGACCGCCTCCTTGGGCTTGTCCTTGTCGACTCCCACGGCCTCGGCCATGACCACTTGCCCGAAGCAGCCTTCGCCCAGGGGCTTGCCCAGGGTCAGCCTGCGTGGGGACGGGGATTAGCACCGGCACCGGGCGGCGGGGGCGGCCGGGAAAGGCCAGGAGCAGCAGAGCCGGCTTCCAGCCTGGGCGCGGGCGCTGATCGTATGGAACTAACGCGACGGCCACGTGCCCGGGTGTCCCAGTGACGCCGTGGAGACTGTCACGCGGGGACGGCTATTAAGTTCCACAGTCGGGCTCCGGTCTGTTTTCCTGACGGAAGGGACCCTGGCCGCGGGCGGGGTGGCCGGCGGCCCTAAGAGCCGGCCAAGGGGGGCATTACTACACGTCCGTCAGAATGTCCCCGAGAAAGCCTGCAAGCCCGCTGAGCCCTTCCTCGTCTCGGGCAGCGAAGCGTCAAAGTCGCTGTTACTCAAACGCCAGTGCGTTCACACCCGCGTTCTGGGGCCAAGGCCCAGGCTCCGAATCTTCACTGCATTTCAAGGAATCGCTCTAGTTTTTCAATAAAAGGAAAAAATCTAAAAATTGGGGGGGGGGGGGAATTTTTTTTTTTTAACATAACAGCCTGGAAAGCTGTATGACGACTCAAAATGGTCATGCAGACAGTCCAGAGTGAGCACAGCAAACTAAATTCTCAGCGTGGAAGCGCTGGGCACGTCCGACTAACGCCCACATCTTGTCCCTGGGCCCCCGAGACGCCACAGGACGAAGCCGTGTCTGAAACACGTGTGACCGTGGCTTCTCCCGCACCCGCAGCGCGGGACTCGGCGTAGGGAGCGTGTTGGTGGCGGCACAGCCTGGCGTGCAGAAGCCAGGCCACGGCCCAGGGCGACGCACGCTGCGCTGAACTGAAATTAAATTTAATGTCTTGGCAGAAAATAAACATTTGCGTTGGAAAAAGGGCTAATTTATGTCCCAGCGCCCGGCCACCCCGGGCGTAACAATCCTCCTTTGTGCAGCCCCTGCCTCCGTCTCACCGCGGCTCTCAATGCCTTCATTCACGGACGCGCTCCGCCCACGCCGGGCTCGGTCCTGTTTTGAAAGGTTTAGGGCTCAGACTTTCCACACACGGGCCCGGGCGGGAGCGCGCCGCTCGCACCGACAGGCCCGCACTGGCGACGGCGGCGCCACGGGTGGCAAAGCCACGGCTGGGCCCGAGCTGCGACTTCTTACCATCCGGTCCCGGCTGCCCACCAGCCCCTTAAGGTCTGTGGTCCAGGGCTCCCAGTCACCCACACGAAGGGAATCGCAGGGCGACGCGCTTGTGGGAGCCAACAGCCAGCTCCGTCCCTGAGGGCTGCCCCTGACCTGCTGGTACGGGAACCACGTCCAGGGCATCAGGCATTGGGCACCACCCGCAGGGTGGCCGGCCTCTGGCGGGCAGGGCAAGGACGCAGGTCCCGCCCCACAGAGCCCAGGACACGGGCCCGCGTCCAGCAATGCCGTCAGCAGGGCCCGGTGGCCGCCCTCGGACGGGGCCCGGCTGGGGCATCCCTATGTCATCCAACCAGGAGAACATTGGGCATCAGGGGAAACGATGCCGTATCGGACGCTTTTCAGCCCGAAGGGGCACTAACCCCCAGAAGCAGTAACACTGGATAAAGCCTCCTTTTCTTTTTAATCCTCACCCGAGAGTATGTTTCCATTGATATAGAGCAGCGGTTCTCAACCTTCCTAACGCCGCGACCCTTTAACACAGTTCCTCATGTTGTGCTGACCCCCAATTACATTGTTACAAATAGGACATAATTAAAGCATAGTGATTAATCACAAAACAATCAATATGTAATTATACATGTGCTTTCCGATGGTCTTAGGTGACCCCTGTGAAAGGGTCGTTTGACCCCCAAAAGGGTCGCGACCCACAGGTTGAGAACCGCTGATATAGAGTGAAAGAGGGAGGGAAAGGCAGAGAGAAATATCGATGTCCTGCAGCTCCCCAACCAGAGCCGGGGAGGAGCCTGCAACCATGGTAGGTGCCCTGACTGGAATCGAACCCGGGACCCTGCGGCCTGCAGGCCGACGCTCTATCCACTGAGCCACACCGGCCAGGGCTGGATAAAGATTCTTAAGACGACATAGTCGACAGCCAATTTCTCCAAAGACGTGGACCACAGAGCAGCATGTTCCGTAACCGGGGGCAGAACAGAGGACTTTTTCCTGGACGGGGCACTCCCGCTCCTGCTGCACGGACCGGGACCGAACTGTCCGGCGAGTTAATAAGAAAAAGAAAAAGCTGACGACGAGGCACCAGCTTGTGTGGGGACCAGCCCGGCTGAGCGGTTCCTCAGAACTACAACCCCACTCACTCCTGCTGGCGTCGCGACAGCAAGACCGTGCAAGTGAGGGTCACGCAAAGGCCGTGTCCACCCACACCCCCCTTCTTCCCCAGCCTCCGTCCAGCAGACGTGCCCCCCGAGGTACTCACTTGTCTCTGGGGAACTCCCACTTGGGGTCCTCGGGCAGCTCGTACTCCGAGACGCCCGCCAGCATGGGGGTGTCCGCCGTGGACGACAGGCGGGTGGTGATGCGCACCAGGGGGGTGTTGGAGTTCATGGAGGAGCTGGACTCGGCCGACACCTGGATACAAAACCCAGAGACACAGGTGTAACCCTGGCCCCCCCTGAGGGGGCTGGGGGCCGGCCAGAGCCCAGCCGGACCGTCAGCCCTCAGGAAGGAAGACACGAGGGGCTGGACACGGTCACTCCTTCAAGACCCAAACCACCGACTCAACGCCCCTGCCCTCCTGCCTACGGGGGCCTACATCGCATCCGAATCCTGTGGCCCTAAGGGCAGGTGTCCACACGTGGGTGCGCATGCTGCTCCAAACACGCCTTGTCCTGCCCTCACCCCAGGACAGTCACTGAGGACGGGAGACAGCCCCACGGACGTCACTGCTCCAGTATCGCCTGCCCTGGGGCCCAGGACCGCTCTCCCGCAGCCCAGCCCAGACCAGGGGTCAACGTGGTGCTTCGGACGATCAGCTCTTGGATGGTTTCTGTGTCGTTGACATGTCATGCCATGCGCTGGCTGGTGTGGCTCAGTGGATAGAGCATCGGCCTGCAGGCTGCAGGGCCCCGGGTTCGATTCCGGTCAGGGGATGTACCTCAGTTGCAGGCTCCTCCCTGGCCCGGGCCCTGGTCGGGTGTGGGCAGGAGGCACCTAATCCACGTGCTTCTCTCACATCCATGTTCCCCTCTGTCCTCCCCTCTCTTCCTCTCTCTAAAGATCGGCGGGAAAACAGCCCCGGGGGAGGATTAACACAAAAGAAAGAAAAATGTCAAGCGAGCGAGCATCCCCGGAACTGGCTCGCGGGAGGATCTGGACCTGAAAGGCTTCCCAGCCGCGCCAAGGCCTTTCCTCAAGGTCACCTTGGGCCCAGGCCCGGGAAGGGGCGGGGGGAGGGCGCTGCTCCGCCCCAGTCCTGGGAACGCCCAGGCCTTCCATCCGGGGAAATCGAGGGCCTCTTGTCAACTTCGGTTTCAGAAACTACAGCCTTGAAGACGTGGGACGAAGAGTCAAGAGAAGGAGAAACACACCTTTACCCACAACCACCTGGGAAGGCCCCTCGCCTTCCCAGGAGCGCACGGCTTTGCGGAGGCGTCTCCCCGACCCTCACCCGTGTCGGCCGTGGCTGAAAACCGCTTGTTTTTTAGCACTAGAAAGACCGAAATTTAGTATATGCCTATATTGCCCAAAAGCCGTCAAAATGACTGCATTGTGAAAGAATAATATCGGAGCACTCTTCACTATGGTCCTTAGCTTTTCCAATAACTCACTTCTATTCGACATTTCTTTCATGAATTTAGGGCGCAAAAGAAATAAAATAAACAACTTATTAGAACAAGTATCGACAATTTATCGTGTGCTTGTATGTTATCATGTGACGGTAATCGAACAAAAATGAAAACTGTTATTTCCATACAGAGCCGAACTGGTCATATAAGAAATTTACTCAATTCAATAATAAGAGTCATTTGATTATTTAAAATTTTCCAAGCTGTCAAAATGACTGCTTTCGGGCAATATAGGTATAACACACATATATACTGGAAATGAAGGGGGAGGTAACTACAATTATTAATAAACGCATTTATATGTTGTAGAAAAAGTCACAAAATTCTAAGAAATTCTGTCATTATATACATCATTGTTTTTCTAATTGAAATTAAAAAGCAGTCAAAATGACTTCCTTGGGCAATCTAGTGTTAAACACAGCCCTTCCCTGAGCTGGGCTCCATGAGCGTCTGTGCACGGCCCCCGGAAGGCCCCCCACACACACTCCGGTCCAATCAGGGGCTGCCTGGTCCAACCGTGCCCGCCCACCCCTCACCCCCCACCGTCAACCACGACCAAGACGTTGGCCAAGACAGTGGGACCACGGGGTTCAACGTGACCCGGCAGAGCGGCTCCCTGCCACCTCGTCCTGCCCCCGGCACACCTGCCCAGGTCCGCCGTCCTCCCGCTGTGCCCACCAACCCCGTCCAAGGCAAGGAGCAAAGGCGGGGCCCAGGGAGCGAACTGATGGCCAAGTGCCACAGGCGGGGCCCGGCCCCTCCCACAGGAGGCTGGCCTTCTGGGGAGCGTTAGTGCCGTTGTAGGAGGGCCCGGCCCGCCTGGCGCAGTGGGCAGAGTGCCGGACTGTGGACGGAAGAGCCCAGGTTCCGTTCCCGCCAGGGGTATACTGGCTGCAGCTCAACCCCTGACCCAGGTCGGGGTGCGTGCAGGGGGCAGCCAGTCCGTGTCTCCTCACGTCGATGTCTCTCTCCCCCTCTCCCCTCGACTCTAAAAATCAATGGAGAAATATCCTCTGATGAGGCTTAACAATTTTTTTAAAGCTTAGCCGTGTTGGAGGGGGATTCGGTGTTGAGGGAGGGGCAGAGCACGTCTCCTCCAGGCCGTTTACATGTCGCCGCCAGGCCTACGTCTCTCGAGAAGTCCCCGAACCCGGAGACGGACCTGGCCCCGTCGGGGATCGCTTCTTTCCTTCTTGGCCCCAAAGCACCTCTTCCTGTCAGACGCCCGGGTCAACTCCAGGGCTTCCTGTTTGTCTCATTGAGAAGATGCCCTTGATGGTGGCAACTACGTTATTTATAAACAACAACGCTGACACGCTAACACGCTAACACACGCCTTCCCACACGGACCCTGCGGCGTGTGAGCTGCGTGTCCACGGCCCCCCTTCCCGGGATCTCCCCACCATGAATCAGGCTTTTAACGAAATGCGCTTTCTGTGTATTTCCACCGCCCATGTGGGGGATTAAGCAAGGAAGTGGGGTTTTTTCCTCTCTTCTCTTTAAAGGGCCACCAAGACACTGTGTTACCTCCTTCTACCGGGTTAGAAGGAGCAGCCGGCGGGCACCTCACGG